TATCATTTTTTAAGATTTTTATTTTTTCAGTTTAATTTTTGTATTTTTTTTAAATTTTATTATCTTTTCAGTTTATTTTAGTTTTTATCATCTTTTTAGTTAATTTTAATTTAAGTTTGTTTTGCTTTTTTAGTGCATTTTTTAAACATGCTAATTATCAAAACTTGCAAAAAGCTGTCATCACATTGTTGAAACAAAGTACTATATTCAAGGTCATATAAGGTGTGTGACTTAAGTGAAGGCTTGATACATATATACAGATACACACATATACATATACATATATATACACTTACATCAGGTTTGGACAGGAATTGCATGTGATTGAACGCTATTGGTGATCACATAAATAATTTTTTTTTTTTGACAACTTGACAACAACTGTTTAGATGTTTTGAAGATTTCACTATTCCGCTGAAAAAAGAAACGCTGAGCTAAACAGTTTAGCTCAGCGTTTTTAAAACTTTTTTTGTCTGAAAAGTCTAAGAATTATGAAAAAATAAAAATAAAAAACTAAAAAAGAAAAAAATTCACCAAAAAAAAATATATTTAAGCTCTAAAATAAAACTCTAAAATAAAAAATGTGGAATTCGGCGTCATAAAATTTTCTTTATTTTTTAATTTTTAAAGACATTAACTTTTTTAAATTACTGCAATAATATTAATTACCGCAAATGGAGTTAAATATTATTTAACTTGTTTTTTATTATTACTATAAGAGAATGTTTATTTTCTTTCATTTTCTTTTATTTTTTTATGTTAAATAATTAAATTTAATATTACATTTAAAAAAAATTTTGATATAAACAAATTGTTTTTCTTGTCATTTGTATAAATGAATAAAAATACGTAAAAAATTTTTAAATGATTATTTCTTAAATAGTTGTTTTAAAAAATTTGCAACTAAAAATGATTTTTTATTTTAAAAAAAATTGCAAGTAACAAATAAAAAAGTTACATTAATTTATATACTTTATTTATTAAAAGTTTATCATTTTATTAGCCATTTTGTTGTGAAAGCAAATATTATTTTTCCAATCACTATTAGTTAAAATTATATCATTGTGTATTTCATTTATTAAAAAATAATTGCTGTGCTCTACTTGTGTTATAAAAAAAAGTTTAACTTAAATTTCGTGAAAATTTTGATACAGCCTCGGAACAGGTTTATTTAAAATTTAATGTTGAGTAAAAAAAAAAAGGTTTAGGAAGAAAAACCAAAAAAACAATTGCGATAAAAATGTATGCTAATTTTTTTAAGAAAAAATAAAATTTAAATATTGAACAATATTTTGTAATATTTTTTAATGAATTTGACAGTTAAGTTAAACCCAAGCCTTTAACTTTAATTTTGATAAACTTATATATATTTTTCTTAATCAGAATTAACATGTATATATTTTTTAAATCAAAATTAAATTAAATATTTTTTTATCAGAATAAAATTATATATTTTTATTAAATTAGTTTAAAATTAAATCATAAATTTTTTATTAGAATTAAATTATACTATTATGATCTTTGCTTCACGTCTTTATCATAAGGTTTAGCATTATTATATATAGCTTTAGCATTTTTAAAGCAAAAAAATCGATTATTAAAATGAAAAAAACAAACTAATTATAAATTATTTATTATATAGAAATGTAAGTAAATTTTTTTAAAATACAATCAAAAGTTGCATAAATATTCTTGTGCTTGCAAAGATGGTTATTAAAAGTTTTTATTATATATGTTTCTTTTATGGACTTTTTTTTTACGTTTAATAACTTTGTATAATATATATTATATAATATATGAGAAAAAAATTGTCGTTAACTATAAAAAATATTATAAACAATTAGCTTAATAGAGATTAGGTTTTTGTAGTTTTTAATTTTAGTTAATTTTTTTTATTAGTAAATATCACTTATATCTAACATAATTGTCATTTAAACTTTTGTAACAAACTTTTTCACATAACAGTTAATTACTTTTTGTATTTTATTGCATATAGAATAATTTAAAAGTTAAAAAGTTATAAAAAGTTAATGGAAATTGCTCTAGGCGTACGTAATGCATATGTAAATTACCGGCAGCTTAACACTTTAAAACAAGACCTGTCAAATAGTTTTGTTATAACCGCTTATAACAGGCAGTTAATCTTGAATCTGATTTTGCTTCTCTATTAGCTTAGGGTTTGTGAATTTTTTCCAAAAATAGTTATTTTCTGCAAAAAACTATCAAAATACTGCCGACATTCCTATATTAGTGAATGGCAACCCTCTCATTGAGTCCCTTTTTTTTACTTGGATTATCTTTTACTACCTTTTACTACCATTGAGTCTTTTTTCTTGGATTATCTTTTACTACCGACCTCTCATAGAAACCATATTTTAAATTGATTGCAAATTAATTGTTAGCATTTGCTAAGGTTGGTTCCAGTCTCTACCTATACAAATTTCTTATTCGTCAATGTATTGATGCTTTTTCTCTTTTAGATAACTCTAAAAACACAACAGGAAAAGTAGTTTAACTTGTTTTATCTGCCAAGCTTTAGCTTCTTTTCCATTATTGTAAAGTTGGATCTCTTTTTCTTTACTACAAATACTATCATGTTTGTTGCTGAAGGAGCTTGTAACATAAGATTCTGTGATACCTAAAAGTTTTGCTATAAAATAAATTTTATTATTTAGTCATTGATTTAGTTTAGTTTTTATCGTTTTTTTTTCCTTTGTTTGTTTTACTAATCTTTATTTTAAATTTATTGTAGTATTGCCAAATTGTTATGAAGCCATTATAAACAATAAAAATAACAACACTTTATGATGATGTTATAAAAATGATGTAAACACATTTTATTGTAATAACATACTCTAAATAATAACGCTTTAAGTTAATCTCTTAGAACAAGTTTAAATAAAAGTATGGTGTTTACTTTGTTACTAATAAGGGCTTACAACTTAACTTTCGTTTTACTTACAAATATGAAATTCAAATTATCCTTTAGATAAATTTTCATATAGAATATAATTTTATAGTGTTAAATTTTAAAACATTTTTATTTAACTAATATTCTTGAAAATCTTTTGAAATCTCTTTTTTGGATTTCCTTTTTGTTCTATGGGGCAGGTTAAGCTTCTTAGCATTAGAGAAAGAAAAGTTTTATATAAAACCCTAATGCAAGTGTGAGTAAGGATTTAAAGTTTATCATCAATGGCTTGGAACCATAGATGTTTTTAAAGTTATTCAAAAAAATACAAAATTATTGAATACCTTTGGCACTAAAAAAAAGATTTTTTAGTAAAATATGATAAATTTTTTGTACTTGTGATAAGTTAAAAGCAAATTAAATATTGAGATTATGTTTTCCATCAAGTTTACGTTAGAGTTTTTGCATTATTGTTTTGTTATTAGTGAGCTCATGACTATAGATTAGCAGAACTATATAGGTGCCTCAATATTATTTATAAAACAATATTGACCTGTAATCAGGGCCACTCAGAGCCTTCATGCCATCTGGAGTTGGTGCCCCTATTTTTCCAAATACTTTTTATATTATCAGTAATATAGAAAAAAAAACAAGGTACCTATTTTTTTAGCGTCCCTTGGATATCTACTGCCCAGGAAAAACTCCCTTTTTTGCTCCTCCCCTGCCCTTTTTCTCTTGGCGTTTCTTCTTATCATATAAAGAAATATTTTTTACTGTCAACTTGGAAATTTGCTTATAGCTATGATATCAACTTGGAAATTTACTTATAGCTATGGTATCAACTCGGAAATTTACTTATAGCTACGGTTACTTGGAAATTTACTTATAGCTATAATATCAATTTGGAAATTAACTTATAGCTGTGATGAGCAAAAACCAACAAAATAATTGAGAGTTATAATTGAAAGATTTTAAAAATCAAAAAACTTAAAAAAACTGAGATTAAAGTTTTTCAAGGTTTGAAATTAAACTTTTCAGCAAAAAACTACACCCAACTTATTGCATTGTTTATTGAATTACTTTTTTTGTAACAAACTTAAAGCTAAAATAAATAAGTCAAGCTAAAGGAGTTTTTAAATATAAAGTAAATTCAGTTTATACAGTCATTTATATGTTTTTCATTCATTAGTGTATCATACCCATGTCTGTAGAGACTTATATTAAATAAGTTACTGAGTTAATGTTGAGTTAATGCCTATATATGAATTGTACTAAAGTAGGAACTAATACTTGAATGTGTTGAATTAATGTAAATAACTATCAGTATACAATGTACCAAAGAAGGAACTAACATATCTAACTCTTTTTGATATTGCAACGTTACCATTAATTGAAGCATAGGTTTAATTTTTTATGAAAATTTTGACTTTTATCAATTTTAAAGCAAAGTTATGTTCAATATTGTTGGTGATATAAAATTGTATAACATTTATTTTTAATAAATTCTCCTTCTTTTACAATGTTATAATGACAATGGTCTTTCTTTTACAATGTTATATTAACAATGGTGTTTCTTTTACAATGTTATAATGACAATGGTCTTTCTTTTGCAATGTTATAATGACAATGGTCTTTCTTTTACAATGTTATAATGACAATGGTCTTTCTTTTACAATGTTATAATGACAATGGTCTTTCTTTTACAATGTTATAATGACAATGGTCTTTCTTTTACAATGTTATAATGACAATGGTGTTTCTTTTACAATGTTATAATGACAATGGTCTTTCTTTTACAATGTTATAATGACAATGGTCTTTCTTTTACAATGTTATAATGACAATGGTCTTTCTTTTACAATGTTATAATGACAATGGTCATTTGTAATGGTAATTTGTAATCAAAACCTTGATCATGGTAGTTGAAATCAAAGTTATAATTGCAAAGTTATAAGTTCTATATTTTAAATTTTTCAACCTTTTTTTATGTTCAAGTTTTTTTGAAAAAAAAATTGTTTAAAAAATAATAAAAAAAAAAAAATATCTTTACAAATTTACAAATTTTTTTTTTCTATTTTTTGGTTTACAGATTTTGAGACCAGAATGCAGTAATTTTTCATCTTTCTGTGGGTCTTCAATGAATTGCACAAAAAATTGCCTTTTAAAAATATTATTGGGAAATCAAACAGATCAGCTAAATAACCAAACAGCTATTAATGCTTTGGTTGTAAAAAGTAAGTAAAACTACAACACTTAAAAATAATTTAATGAGTTTTTTGATCCACTTTTTATTGAGTTTATGTTATTAAGCTTACTGTATTTGATAAATATATATAATTTATATGGATGATTTAGCGCTAAACCAGCCTATGCAACTGTTGAAATAAGATAACTAGACACAAACTTTAAAAGTTTTTAACAAAAGCCTACAAACCAAAAAAAAGTAATTAGAGTTCAGTGCACTTAAAAATTTAAAGTATATTGGTGTTTGCAAAGAAACACTACATAAATCATTATTCAACATAAACTAATTTTTTTCAATTTTGTTGTAAAGGCTGGTTGACCATTAAAATGTAAATATATTTTTGTTTATATTTAATATTTTTATTTAATATATAATGAAAATTTTAACTTACTTTTATTTACTAGCTTTAATTAGCAGAGAATTATTTACAAGCAAATGAACTTCCTAGAGCCTTGTAGACTTTTAACCTTACTCCTAACTAAAATATTTATAAATTTCATTTTGAATTGTGCTCACTATTGTTGCAACTAAAGTTAAAGTTAACTAAATAATGAAGGTATTTAAATTTGCAAGTGAGGCTCCTTAACCGTGATGAAAACAACTTACCTACAATAAAAGAAAAAACCTAATTGTAATTCTTAATAAGTAGTCTCTCTAGCAATAAAATACTTGATGCTGCAAAACAGGATAAACACACACAAATAATTGTATATATTGAACTAAAAGGAATTTGAGGAAAATTAGTTATGTATCCATTAAATTAAAACCTGTTTTGTTATATAATACAGGGCCCACTACATGGATTTCATGGTGGGAGGGCAAAATTATCAATTTCTAAAGAGAGTCCTATATCTTGAAATTTATAAAAAATTTCAAGATGTTTAGGACTATATCAAAACTTCTGCTTAGAAAAAATTTTGACTTGTGAAAACTTTTTTGTGAAAACTTGGCTTACAAAGTAACCAGAAACAACATCTCTGTACATCTCAACAAAAACTGCTACAAATTTAATGAACTTTTCCTAAAAATAACTATATATATACTTTCCCAAAAATAACTATATATATACTACGAGTGATATTAAAAAGAATAAAAGTGATACCTTAAAACTAGGGTTGAAATTTCCCAGGAGATTTTGCTTAAAAATTCTGTAAATATTTAAATAAATTTTTATAGCAATAAACCTATCGTTTTATAAGATTCACATCTTTGTTTCGAAAATATATTTGTTTTATCATTGTAGTAATTGAGTTTTCTTTAAATATTTCAACAAAAAATATAAAATAATCAAGACCCACAAGCGAAAAATACACATCTTTTAGTCAAATTTTAACAATCAAGTTTATCAATTTAATAATGACGCTTTTTAAAAAAAAAAAATTAAAATGCTCAAGTTGTTATATGTTATTCTCCCCTCATTTTATTCGTAGAATCGCCTATAATTGCATAAAAATTTTTAAAAATATATAGGAAGATTTTTTATGTATAAAGATTGCATTTAAATCATCTTATAAAAGGTACATGTTAAAAATGCCCTGACTGTGTTAGATAATAATAATTTATCTAAAAATGACATTAGTAAACACATTTGAATGTTCAGTAAAATAATAATAAATTAATTTGCTTGGCATGATACTTATAAAATACAAAAACATACACATACAAATTGCCCACTTGCCAGTATTGGTTGAAAAATATAGTATACATTTAAACCATTTTAAAGTATAGCATAATTTTTTAATTTATTGATTTATAAGCACAATTAAAGAAAGAATAAAAACCACTTAGATGTTGTAAAACTATTTTATTAACTTATAATACAATATAGACCTTTTCATAGATGTCTCCAGAAGGCAGGATAGGAATTATGTCAAAACAATCAATTAAGCACAAACAATATCCAAGTAAACAAATTCTATTTTTTTATATAAATTATATTTATTTCAAAATTTATATGTAATAACATCTGATTAAAATAACGCATTATTAGTTAATTTTTTTTTACAAATGTAGTTACATCTGAAAAAAATTGTTTGACATTTATTTGTAAAATATTTTTTTTTATTAATAAATTTTGCAATGAATGAAAAAATTAAATAAAAGAATTGCATGGTTTTGTTTATAAATGTATTTACCACATTTGATGCCTGTCTGAAATCCGTTCCTTTATATTGCTCAATGTTCAATATTAATATGTATTACTAAAGATAATGAACATAACATTTGCTTTGTTTGAAAAATGTATTTAAAATTTAAAATTTAGTTTTAAATAGGATCCATTTCATTAAAAAAGTTCAGTGAATTACAAAGCACTTGCCCACAAACTTTTGGAGCATCATCAATAACAATAGTTCATCAGGAAATAAACTATTAAGTTTAAATGCAAAATTTCGATCCAGCAAAAGTGCAGACTATTTCAATGGGGGTAGTGAAAACGACCAAATATTTTATATTTAAACATTAGTATTAATGGCTTTTTATTTTTTATAAGAAAATATGAAAAACTTGTTAAATAATTAAAAAAAAAATTTTTACAAATAAATTGCAATTAGTTTTCTGGCTTTTCTATGCATTGATAAAAGCAATAAAGTTTAGTATAAAATATTTGACAAACAAATTTCAAAATTGTTCATAATTCTAGAGCAAAAAATAAAGTGTTTCCTTAATATACTGACTGACAAAAGTTGCGAATAAATTGTATTTAAAAAAAATATTTTTAGTTTTGTTATATTCTTATCTACTTTTTTCCTCAACTTGTATCAATTTTAGTAGTAAAAAAGAACTAACGCAGTAAAAGAAAAAAAATTAAAAAACATAGTAAATTATTTAATTATATTATTTTTTTGAAATTTTTTTTTTGTTTTTAATTTTTTTTTAGTTTATTTTATTTAGATTTTCTATTTCATTAGTATTTGATTCTTTTCATCAAGTATTGCTGTTTTATTTTCTGTAGTTTCTTAAAGCTTTTTTTTGCTGTAAATTTTTAGGCTGCTTACTATATAAAAGCACGGTCAAGTTGTCTAAATTACTTTGAACATGGACAAAAAAGGCATGTGACCGCATGCACTTTTGCGGAAAGGCTTGTGTGTGTGTAAAAATACTGTAGCCAAACAACCACTAACTTTAATTTGTATTTACAGTACAAGAATTTAAAATACATTAAAAGAATTGAACATGAAAAATTCAAGTGTACCTCAAGAAATAAGTTTTTCAACAGTAGAATAATTAAAAAGTAGTTTTTTTTGCTAAACTATGTTTTTTCTTCAAGGTCTGTAAATTGTTTTGAAAATAATTTTGATAATTTATAACATTAACAGCTCTTATAGCATCATAGTATACTCTGCAACAATGTATATATTGTTGTTACAGTAAATATATATTATATTATTATATTATATTGTTATATTTATAAACTAATTTTTGTTTCTAACACAACTTTTTAGGATGAATTCATGGATTTACTTAAAAAATAGTATCAAAAAGTTGCACATACGTTATAGCTGAGTGATATAAATCACTTGAATACAAAGAGTTATATAGAAAAAGCTTTAAAAGCGTTAAATGTACTAAATCTTACACAACAAGTCAAAGAACCAACTCATAAAATGAGAAACATACTAGATGTAGCATTTAATAAGCCAGATAAGATATCAGTAATTATGCTGTGGCAGACTTAGATTTGAGTGACTATTTTCTAATTTGTTTTAAAGTAGAACAAGAAAAAAAAAGTTGTACCATACTATCACATCACCATACTATTAAATACAGGAATTTAAAAACAGTGGACATACAGTCTTTTAAAAATAAAATATTAGAAAATAAACCAGAAATATTATCAGCTAAAAATATGAAAGACAAAATAACAATATATAACCAAGTAATGAAAAAAATAGTGCAGAAACATTTCCCTCAAAAATTTAAAGAGTAAAAATAGTCAAAGTAGCTCTATATAAGTTTTATATATAATATATAAAGTTTTAAACATATATATATGTTTAAAAGCCTTTTAAAAAGGCTCAAGTGATGAAATTAAAAATGATAGAAACTCATTTCAAGATTTGTGCAGAGGAAAAATATGATAATAATAAATATTAAAGTTATATAAGATATGCTTGTCAGGCATTGCATTGAAAAAAAAAAAAGAAATTTATATAGTGGCAAAATTACTTCAGAAATTATTACTTTTCATGTTTAAGTTTTTTTGCCATATTTATATATAAACTTTATATTTATATATAGGCTCAGGCCTCAGCGAGAATAAATAAACCGGAGAGCAGAGAAAAGCTCTCCTAAAACAAACATGGCGAGCCATGCAAGCTGCTCCTATGAACATCTTCTTACAAGAGCTTTTGGTTTTTGCACAAGCTGTCTATTTATTCATTGAATGAAATTGCTTATTAAATACAAAATTTGGTTATATACTTGTTACAATCATATGTTTGTAACGTTAGTGTTACAAAAGTATATACATATCAAGCGTCATTTATTGCCGCGTGAAAAAATTCTATAGACAAGCGTTGTCTTTCGGTTTTCACACTAGCTATCCATTTATTTATTAACAACATTACTTATTTGATAAAATATTTGACATAGAGCTATAAAGGCTTTTACTGCTAATCAAAAATGCTTTATATTTTCTTATTATAATAGATTGCAGGGATTTTAAGATTTACTACAACAATCAAAAGTTCTACAAATAAAGTAAATAATAAATTAAAGTAATTAGTATATAAAATATATAATTCATTACATAAAATAAAAGTTGCTATGCAATAATTTAGAGTGTAATTATTTTATTTTTTTTATCAGTTATCAAAATCATTTTCATTTAAATCGACCCCCTTTTAATTTTTTTTTTTTGTTGCAACAACTGTGTCTTTTAAAAACCATCATTATGTAATAATTTTTTTGTTTTATAAAAATGACTTGTGTTTTTCATTTTAGTTATAATAATAATTTGAGTGAAAAAACAATACTTTAGCAAGAGCAGTAAATTGCTCTTGTTAATCGTTTTAGGGGAGTTTAAGGGAGAGCTTAAGCTATAACTTCCCAATGAGGCTTTTTCTTTATAATAAATTTTCGAGCAGCAAAAAGATATTAATTAATAATAAATGATATTGTTTTGAAAACAAAATTTTGCATAGCAAAAACATTGAATCAAATCTATACTATTAAAACATAAATAACTTTAAAGAAAGTTTTTAAGTCGTTGCTCCTATATAAATATTATTTACCATAAAGTTTTCATCCATCAATATTAGGTTCCTGGTATTTTGGAGTTATCAAAGTTAACGCACTTTTCACCGCTAAAATTGCCTCATGTTCAGATATTCTGGATTTTAACCTTGGCATGGTGTCATAAATGGCATGGCCAAATAATACCTGAGCGAGTGACAACTGACTAGTAAGGTCTGGTGTTTCTTATTGTGAGCATTGTCCTCACAAAATTGTTATTATTGAGATCACTATTTGATCCCACATTATTTTTGAGGAAGCTTTTTGTTGATTTAACTGCAAGTACAGTTCTTCCATTAGATTGTGGGTGGTGAGCAAATGAAAAACAATGAGTTATACCCCATTGTCGATAAAGTATCCATCTCTAATGACCAGATAATTTCAGCCACAAAATTCGAAATAGTCAGCATATATGCATTTAAATGGTGTCACAGGAATGTGAGGTTGGGTAGGTGGTAGTTGTGCATTAAAAGGTGTGTTTTAATTACAGCTGCAACAGTTATTGCACTTACTTTGTATGTTGTAACTAACACTCCTCCAGAAAACAGTAGCTAGAGCTCTGACTGTCATACCTGATACTCCTTGGCGGAATGAGAGCAATACATCCAATATCTCATTCTGTATAGTAGATGGGATTACAATTCTGTTTTTGTTTATAATAACTCCATCGGACACTATCAAGTCATTGTGGTATTCCCAGAACAATAAAAAATTGGTATGAAATTATCTTTATATTTCCACCTAGTCTTGCCAATTAATTGGTATGGTGGCTGGAGTAAATGCTGCAACTGGTTTGACATTTTCTTCTATTAAAATATTAATTGGAGGCCCTTTCATATCAGGTAAAATCTGGTATAGCATGTATTGAATGTTGAGACAGAGTATCTTTCAAGAAGCCAAGTTTTTATCTGTTCATTGTTTTGAGGAAAGCAATCAAACGGAAGTTTGGTGGATGTATCTGGTGGGAAACTTCTTTTAGGACAATCGTATACATGTATGGTATGATTTTCACTGGATGTTTTGGACTCATTAGCCTAGTAGCCTGAGATAATAGCTCCATTGAAGGCACTGCCTATCTCTAGAAATTCTTTAGAGATGATACTTAATTGGGTCATTGCTTCTTTAGATAAGCAGAATCTGTTTGTATCTGAACTTACATAAACAATTACTATACATTCAACTCTGTTGCCATTAGGTTGTTGTCCTTCTAGAAGTATAATAATTGCACCTTTGATAGAAAGTTGGGTTTTGTTGGCAGTTGACATCTTATATTTCACAGGTATCAAATTGTTTGCATTCAAACCTGTGCTGTCAAACCCTTTCCTAGACCATAAGCAAGACTGTTCACAGGTATATGTAATAACTTGTAGATATTTCAGTATAATGGGAGGAAAAGGGATACCAAATGCATCGTAGTCTGATTTGTTGGTAGTCACACACAACTGAATTGTAGGTTGAACAACCGATTGAGCTGTGGCCCATCCATCATGGATAAATATGTGATGGTTTATTCATGTGCTTCACATTGACAATTATTCGTGATTTTATTTTTTTTTGATTTTAATGTTCATTTGTGCTCAACTTACAAGTCTGCCGGCCTTAGCATCTTTAGTTGCATTCAATTTCTTATCATTTGGGATGATTCCATTGTTAATTTTAGAAGTGCAAAATCTAAGCTTTTTTCAACAGTCTAGACACAGCTTGTAGGGTTTTGTGTTCCATCTTCTAGATGATTCTGTAAGATTTGTAAGCTGTAAGATTTTGAGAAATCTGGACGTTGGCTGTAATATTGGTTTGTTTAATACCCTGTATAATCCTCTTGTTTTGTTTCTGAAAGTTTATACACCTGCTGTTGTTGAACTATATCGTAGTACATTTTGTGCCATTTCCTTACCCTCTATAAAAGTCATGATAGCTGTGATTGAGGCTGTGTCAAGAGAGACTAATCCAAACACATCTTAACAGATGCCAAGGTCTGATAGTGCACCAACAACAATGTCTTTTATAATGAGATCGGTAAAATCAACAGTTGTTTGTGGGTGGGAGTGCCATTGTACTGTGTCGTTGCAAGTAACAGTCATGCCCTTCATTTTTGAATAGAATGGCCAAATATTTTTGTTGTCTCTCTCATTTTAAAAAGTTCTGCTCTTCTGACGCTATTGGCCACTGGGATAACAGCCAGTTTTTTTATTGCATTTAGAAATACCTTGTTGCTTTCATTAATTTTTCTTAGGATTTTCTTTCAGGAGTTAAGTTCTAAGGTTGTTCTAATGACATTGCATCCTGGGGCCTGGCAAGGTGAGCTTATTGTGGACATATTGTAGAAAAAATAAAAGGTTAGCAAAATCCTACCTTTTTGAGCATATATTAACAACTTTAAACAAAATAACATAAGTGAATTATGATTTTAACCACTGACAAGAAATTTTTATTTTTGTAATAGCAGTGTTTATTTTAAAATTCCATAGAATGCATAAAAAAACTAACAAAAAGAAAAGTTAGTTGTTGCTCCAGATTATAATATATATCTTAAACAATGCTTCGAAACAATTAGCTTCTCTAAATAGAATAAAAATTAAAATAACAACAATAAAAAAAAAAAATGTAACAAGAAATGAATAATTTCTTTTATATATATATATATATATATATATATATATATATATATATATATATATATATATATATATATATATATATATATATATATATATATATATATATATATATATATAAATGTATATATATATATACATGTATTAATATATATATATATATATATATATATATATATATATATATATATATATATATATATATATATATATATATATATATATGTATATATATATATATATATATATATATATATATATATATATATATATATATATATATATATATTAATACATGTATATATATATATACATTTATATATGTATATATATATTTATATATGTATATATATATTTATGTGTATATACATATATATATATATATTTATGTGTATATATATATATATTTATACATATATATATATATTTATGTGTATATATATATATATATATATATATATATATATATATATATATATATATATATATATATATATATATATGTATATATATATATATATATATATATATATATATATATATATATATATATATATATATGTTTATTTAACATTTTTTTCCCAAGTTTTTAAGTAAAAGTTTGCTTAAACTATTTTAAAGGTATAAAGTTACTTTTACCTAAAGTTACCTTTACTTAGTAAATGTAAAAGTAATAAAAAATAACCATATTGATTTTATTATTTCATTTGATGCAATTTAAAGAAGGTCATTTTCACTTGATTTATTATTTTTATTACAATTAACATGTTTGATAAAGTTTTCTATTTATATTCTTTTAATTCATTTTTAAGACTTTTGGTTTTTGATAAATGATACTGGAATTATTGAGATACCAATTCACAACCGTGATAATGATGTTCAAGAAAATGACATGATATGGATTGGTGGAGATGTTGGTTTGTTTTGTAACAGTACAAATTATGATGTGATTAGGGGTGGAATACAGATCGGAAAAACTATTACAATTTCTATTAATGGAATTACTAATAATGGTTGGCATATATCTTTTTTTATATCAAAGCCATTTGAATACATGTTACAAGTGCCATCAAGTACAGTGGGTTTGTTTAATTTCACAGTTGATGCTTTTAATCATATTACACCTTCAAAACCAATAAATTTCTTTTATAGTTTCCAGGTTTGTTAGTTTTTACTTTTGACACTATTGCAATTTAGTTTAAATTGATGTTAAAATTACACCAGTAACTTTTTTAATAAACTTTGTACAATTGTCTTTTATAAAAAATAATGATTAGCAATAACATGAAGTTGCCATGTAATTTAAATATGTGTATACTGCTCTGTAGGGTGGTTCTTAGTTTTCAAAGTATGATTTTTGTATGAGGCACCCCTGAATTTTGCTTATAAGCATGCATACAAAATTCACAAAAAAACTCAGCTAAATCTGAAAATATTTAGAGGTCCCTATCACATATACTAGTTAAGTATCATTTAGGGTTCCGTGGCTGCATTTCACAAGTTGTTATGCCTGTGAACTCTTTCACTATACACACTATACTGCCTGCATATTTTATCAATTTGATGTTACTTATTTATTGTTAGGCTTCCCAGAATGTATTTCACCAGCTGTCAGCCATTTTTAATCAGACATTAAGGGACAATCACACAATTTAAAAATAATATTTCATTAATCTGAATTAGTGCCTAATATTGACTACTGACTTTCTCAGGGAAAGTTCCATAACAACGGACCTCGTGGATACTGGAACAAAAGTAAGTGTTTTCTTTGTTTATTTTTGCTTGAATGGGTTTTGCATTGTTTGCATTATTGCATAACATAAACATTGTCAGTTGGATTACTGGGTTCTGTTAGTTTTGGTAAAAATTATAATTAATTTCTATAATTAAATTGAATGGCAAAAAGTACAATTTATTATTTTGAAGGAGATGGCCAATGCTTGCCGTGGGACTTCGAAACCAACTACAAGACAAGAAACTGAGTTGTGGCTGATAGGCCAAATGTCTGAAATTCTCAGCTTTACAAAGTTACTGTCAAAGAAGGAAGTCATGGCACTATTCTTCTATTACAAAGAGGCCACCAAACAGACTGTTTGTGAAGCATCACATTCAACAACTAATGACATTATTGAAGTATGGGCTAAAGCTCGAATCCTGACACGATTGAAGAAACATGTTGTTGAAAAAGTTGAATGTATGTTCCATGAATATGACAAACTGAAGAAAAATAAGGAAAATAAAGCGAAGCGCTCTGAAAGTCTACTGAAGAAGGAAGAAGAATGGAAGAATGGCTTAGAGAGTCTTTTGGATCATGCGGATGCCATGAAGATGATTAGCATTCAGGAGGACAGGGAGTTCCTGTTAGCTCAGCGTGAGGTGGGACGACGTGGTAAGATGGGAAGTGTTGACAAAGCCTTGGCCAAAAGAGAAAGAGATGTTCACAAAAAAGAAGAAAACTTCAAGAGGAGAAAGGAGAGAGAAGAACATGACAGAGTGGCCAGAGAGGAGAAAGCTATTCTTCAGACATCTGAAAGCGAACAAGAATCTGGTAATGATGATGAAGCATTTGGTGAGCCATCATCAAGAACAACTTCAAAGAGAGCTAAACGTATACATGGTACACAAAAAATACTGAATGACAAGTTAGCAGTATGTCTGGATATGGCAAAGGTCAGTGATAGAAATGCTGCACTAGTCCTGACTCCAGCACTGCAGCACCTTGGTTATGACCCAGCAGATTTTAATATCAATCGATTGTCCATTCAAAGAGAAAGGATGAAATGTAGGAAAAATAGCAGAGAACTTGAAAGCAGAATTCAAGCCAACAGTTCCACTAACAATACACTGGGATGGGAAATTACTGGAAGATATCAGTAGCACAGAAATTGTGGACCAGCTCCCAATCCTCGTGTCTGGACTAGGAGTTGACCAACTTCTTTGTGTACCAAAGCTGCCATCCAGAACTGGAGAAGCTTCAGCGACAGCGACTTATGATGCAACTGTAGCGTGGGGCATAACTGATACAGTCAAGTGCGTGTGCTTCGATACTACTGCCGTTAATAGTGGTCCAAGAAATGGTGCTTGCATCCTACTGGAGCAGAAGCTTGACAAAAATTTGCTCTGGTTTGCTTGTCGCCATCACATTTTAGAAATAGTCTTAGAGGCAATGGTTACTCTTTCTCTTGGCCCTTCAAAGGGTCCATACATCATGATTTTTAAAAGATTCAAAATTTATTGACCAGTCGAAATTTCAGACATCAAGTTCGAATGACACCGTTTCCAGTGTCGTTTCCAGTGTTGCAATTGAAATTATTGCATTTGCTGATAACCAACTGCAACAGTTTCAGCCTCGTGACGATTATCGTGAGCTGCTAGAGCTGACAATTATGTTTCTAGGAGGCATTCCATCTCGAGGATGCTAATTCAAAGCACCGGCAGGACTTCATTGAGCCAGATGGATGGCCAAAGCTATTTATTCATTGAAAATATGGATGCTGAAAAGCCAATTCAAGATGACAAAGAAAGAAGAGAATGGAATAGCAGACGTTTGTCTTTTCACAGTGACTCTGTATGTAAAGGCCTGGTTTAGAGCACCGTTGGCACCATCTTCGCCTCGTGTTGATCTCGAGCTCATCAAGGAGATCGACAAATACAAGGCACAGAATCGAGCAGTCTCTGAGATCGCAATGAAAAAATTTTTAGGACATTTGTGGTACTTGTCAGAAGAACTGATTGCACTTTGCAATTTGTTCTTCTGATTTCTGGCTTTCTTTGACGATGAAGTCTCCGATGACACAAAAAGTCTGATGGTCAGTGCCTTGCAAGCACCGAGTGCAGAACACCCTTTGAAGAGGATAACTGTTGATCCTTCGCTGGTGAGCTCCAAGAACTTGCAAGACTTTGTCACCGAGAGCAGTCATAGGTTCTTTACCATCTTTGGTCTACCGTCAACTCTCCTCAACAAAGATGTGAAGCTCTGGTCTGCAGATGCTGACTATCAGTTGGCGAAGAACATTGTCAGCAGTATGAGAGTTGTGATTGACATTGCAGAACGTGGAGTTGCCTTAATGGACGAATACAACAAGTTGCACACAAACGATGAGGAGCAGAAACAGTTCCTTCTCTTAATTGTAAAGAAGTACCGTCAGCGATTTCCTGATCGAGCAAAAAATACCCTAGCAATGGACTAACTAGACGGTTTTTCTCACTTCGACAGTCTCAACATAGAAGGACAATAATAATTACAATATGTTACAGTTTTTTAACGTGCTTCAATAAAGCAATGCTATTCTCTGTGACAGTTTAAATTTGTCCTGATCATTCATATTGTGCTGAGCAAATAAGCCTCCGGCGGGCACTTTTATTGATAGGGACCCCTAAATTATGTTTTATTCAAATAAAATTTTCAGTACAATCATTTTTTCTTAATAGTTGACCATTTGAGAGGGTGCCCTATCAGAAAACTGAAAAAAAAATTTTTTTTTATAAACAAGGACCACCCTACTGCTCTGCATCTGTCCTTAAGTGTCTGTCATATACCTGCTTAAGAAAACAGTAATTTTTTAAATAAATTTTGTACAATTACCTTTTATATAAAATAATGATTAGCAATAACATGAAGGTGTCATGTAATATGTGAATACTGCTCTGCATCTGTCCTTAAGTGTCTGTCGTATTCGCACTTAAGAAAACCTATATAAAATTTTTTTTTACTAGATTTACAATATGTTCAAAGAATAAGCTTAAATTGTATTTTTAGAAACTCTAAAAAATACAATACTGATTGTCTTTTTATTACTTAAAACCCATTTATTAATTTGTATTTATTATGAGATAGCAATTACTAATATATAAAATTTGTAATATAATGAATAAATATTTTATGTTTAATTATTTATTTTAAACTAGCTGTCAAAACCGGAAGAACGGATCATGTTAAGTTTGTTCCACACAGACAATTTCTATATACATTTTTATATGGTCTCTTCCTTTCAATAATTTTTAATAAACGATAAAAAATAATTGTTTAAAAATCTTGGCAAATGCGTGACATTTTATTTATTATTTTATTTATGCGTGACATTTCTAGTAAGTTTTTTCAAAACTTAAATTAAAAATTAAAGTAAGCAAACAACAGATGATCAAAGTGATCTGTTTAGGATTAAGATAATGGATTAAAATTTAATTAGGATTAAATTGTTTAGGATAATGGATATAGTTTTTTATTACATTTATTGAGTCTTATCATGACATAGTGAAAATCAAAGAATCCTGAAATAGTGGCAACAATGAATCTTGGCAAATTTATTTCTGGATTGCTAATTGTAATTGGAATGTTATGCAGACCATAAAAACCATTCCACTGATTTCATATTGTCATTTGATCCATTAGTATCATGATACAGTCTATCAGTTTCAAGCCACAAATTTTCTCTGTTGATTTCATATTTCCACACAGCACCACTATCTGTATATGGACTATTTTTGACCATTATTGACTAGTAGATCATTTTTATTACTGGGGTAACAACAGCCAACAGAGCTCTATATATTGTAAATATATATTGTATATCTTGTATGTTATACCTCTTTGCTTAAACTGAATGTTCCGCTTTATCACAAATGAATTATTTTCAACATTTAAAAAAAGTTGTATTCTCTTTTATTCTCTTTTTGCACAATTTTTATCATTGTTGTTACAACTTTAAAAAATTTGACAGTTGACTAAATTGACAAATATATTTGTCTAATTAAAAGTAAAACTAAAATTGACTAATGCATTTTCGAAATTGACAATGTTGATTTAGCCAAAATATGGAAACAATTTTTCTTTTAAAATAAGTTGCAATAAAAATGCGTAGTATAAAAAAAAGTATATATATATATATATATATAAAAAACACATAACTGAAAGTTTAAATAAGTATAAATATTGCTAACATGCTATGAACTTTATAAAACTTAAAGAGAATACATAAAAAACAGAATGCTATAGTTATAATAGTATTGTTATTAAATGAACAAGCAAAAGGTAGTATATTGAATAACTAAAACATTTACCTTAAATAAGAAGATTTAAATTCAAGATTATAACTCGACTAAACTGACTTTTAGTCATATAGTAGGAATTCCATAATCGATTAAATCAACTGTTTGATTTTTCAAAGTTGACTAATTTATAGATACACAGTAATTTAGACTTTTGACTTTTAGTTGATTTAGTCAAAATCAATAACGACACTAAAATATTTATGCTAATCCACTGTGCTATATAGCATTATGAAAGAGTTTTTAATAACCTGATGGCCTTGTTGTTATCATGGTAATGGTGTTACATTAGCTTTATATTATCAAAATTATGAAATCGCTTAAAATGAAAACAATTTTTTTAAAGCAGATAAGCTAAATTTTTATTAAAAAATGTTTTAATAACATTATTAACTAGTTGCTGCTATTAATAAAAATATTTATAAATGCTGTTAAAAAATATAATTAATTTTTTTTTTTTTAATTAAATAAAAACTTATAATTTTAGGTTCCTGTTACAAATCTACATTTTGTACCTTCAAAACCATATAATTCTTCTATTGCAGGATACATGTTTAATAGTTATATACATTTACAAGCTGCAATAGACAATGGAACAGATGTTACATATATGTTTTATATACCAGGACTTAATTATTCTCAAAATTCAAGTGATTTTAACTGTGAAGTTCCAGCTATATCTTTTGGTAAAAATGTTTATAAAATAATTTTTCTTTGTAAAATAACTTTTTATACAATTTTTTTTTTAGTGTTTACGCAATCATAAAATCATCTTACAGATTAATTTTAACCATTAAGTCTAAATGCCAAATAACTTTTTAAAAAATAACTCAACTTATGATTGGCTATTTTTTAAAAGTATTGTTACACCTCACTCTCTCTTGAAAACATAGAAGTTGTTTATGAGGTAAACAACTTCTTACTTATTAACTGTGTTAATAAGCAAAGGTTTTTTTTAATTGTTGTTAAACTTCTCTCTCTACCTTATAAACATAGCAGTTATTTTTAAGTGCTGCAAAGAGAAACTAATTAAACTTAAAACTCCAGGAACAATAGTAAGTTTTTTCTTCATACTTCCAGTGTGACTGCATATGTATCTATGTTATGTGATAACAAAGACACATATGCAAGATTAGAAAATGTAAAAGAAGCTTTAAAATATATTATGGGTTAAATTTTATAATTAATTTTGAATAGTTTTATGAAAAACAGTTTTCAAATAAAATATTAAACACTAGCTAGCTGGACCCATTAAATACAGGTCTTGGTTAGTCTATTTAACAACAGCAATTTCTCTACTTATTCCTTATTTACTTTGATATTTTTTAGTAAACAGTAGAAAAATATTTCATTTAACAGATGCATTTATAGCAAAAATAATTAATAAGCATGCCTTAAGCTTAATAGAACCTTTATCTGATTTTTTCTTATTTCGAAAAACAAAGTCTGAATTAAACATATTTTCACTTCGAAAAAGAAAAGTGTCTCTTTTCAGCATTAGATGCGCAGATAACTTAAATCTCTTTAACATATTCATAACTAAGTAAACTACAATTAATTTTTTACAACTTTTCTTTTTTAACAAAGAAAATGATTAGCGTATCCATAGAATAAACACAGTAAATAATTTCATCACATAAAATATTCATATAAAATTCTCAATGTGAGGATAATAATAATGGGTTTAGGTAAGTCTCCCTTTTTAATTTTGAATATTTAAATGCATACAATTATATGAAGTAAAACAACGTAGAAATTATTATATTACTAATAAAAGTACTATAACATGAATCACAATGTTGTAACATTATTTAAATTATTATTTTTTATTAAAAATTTATTAGTAGAATTTATATTTATTTGTATAAAAATTTTTATTAATATATATACATATATATATATATATATATATATATATATATATATATATACATATATATATATATATATATATATATATATATATATATATATATATATATATATATATATATATATATATATATATATATATATGTATATATATATATAATATATATATATATATATATATATATATATATATATATATATATATATATACTTAAACTAGTTTTTTATTAAAAATAGTAACTAGTAAGAAGATTAGCAATGTTTCAGTTTGGTTTTTAGAAAATGAAAACATTAAATCATTTAATATGTCAGGAACTCTACCTTAAAACAGATTTAATACTTAGAATATATAATAATTATAGAATATTAAATACTTTATAAAGTATTTAATAGTTTCTGTATTACATTATGTGCGGATTTGTCTGTTTTTAGATAGCTTAAAATTTTTAGTATGTTTAGATTTTAGTTTTTAGGTACACTAAAATGTGTTAACTAAATTTAGTTCACACATTTTAGTTGAGTTCTATAAAAAGTGCAACTGTATTGAATTGCATGTTAAAAAAATATAAAAATTAAAAAAGAAAAAAAAGTTAAAAATTAATAAATGATAAAAGCTGTGCAAAAAGTTCATTTAAAGAAAATATTTTTTATTCATACTTCCTATTATGAACTATGCATTTTTGGTTTTTTTTTGGCATAATTAGGTTCTATTAATGTACATATTATTGCTATTTTAAATGTACTTAAACAGTTTTAGTAAATATACAAATAACTAAATGACAAAATTTTAAATGTATCTATTTAAAAGTATAATTATATACAATTTAATGGCACATTTATTTCTACTTAAAGGGGTTCTACGTTAATTTATTTTATTTCAGGACATTCTTAATGCAAAACAGGGCAAATAAAGCAATCACTACCCAATATCCTGTCCACAGCCATCCTGGCCTCACTCTCTTTCAAAAGGATTAAGGCTGTACAAAAAGTACATTTTAAGAAAATATGTTTTATGCAAACTTTCTATAATGGACTACATAAATATACATGAATAAAAAAAAACTATCAGAGTAAAAGACAGTGTAGTTTATGTCTTCCAGCTGCAAATATATTGGCAATCTCATCTAAATGGATGTGTATGTTGTAGAAACATAATAATGTATCTCTTGTATGTTCATGGGTCAACTTGTTTTTTAACTTGTTTTTTACATGTTTAAGAGCGGAAAATACTCGCTCACACTCATCAATATCAACGCTAAGTGTCAAAATGTGATGATATATATGAAACATATTTTTCATTACCTACATTCTGCCTAATGTTCTCCATTGCAAAATATACCTAATGTTCTCCATTGCAGAGTATACAAAAATAATGATCATAAATTTAAAATTAATTAAATAATTAAGCACATAATAAAGTATAAAAAACATACATTGGCATTGGTGCACAAGATAATTCCTTTCTCTATAAGCTCCTGTTTCATAGTCAATGTCTGATATTACACACTCTTCACTATCTGAAGTTTTTCTATCTTTAATTTCATTGAGGTTATTCAGTATACCATATTCAACATGTGGTTATTCAGTATACCATATTCGACATGTACCAAAAGCTATTAAATAGAGTGGAAGTACTTTGAGTTCTTGTGCTAGATACAATCAATGCTGTTTAGTAAAGGCAATTTTACAATATATGTATTGAAGTTGTATGCATAAATTTTTTTGTCAGTCTTTCAAATCAGCATGTTTAGTCATACAATTGAACATAAAATATTTAAATCTTTGCATCCTTTATCAATAAATTGAATTTCTATCAATATATTACCAAATATAAAACAACATATTTCCTTAATTGCTAAACTTGAAATGCATATAACTGTTTCATACAAACGTTGCCACCACAGTTTTCCAATGCTACAACTAAACATTATAAATCATTTTTTATCTCTGAGTTTTCAAAATCTAACTTCATGATATCATATATATATTTAATAATTATAATCTATAAATATAATAGTTAAAATGCAAATACTTTAACATTATGATGTACTAAAATATTGTTTTAACATAGCAATGCAGTGTTAAATAATTATAAAATAATCAAACAAGATAGTTTAAAATGTTTCAACATTAGTATTTTTATCTTGCAATACAAATCAGCATATCTCCAGAGATAGTCAAATTTTTTTCCAGTTTCTTTCAACTTCAAGAGGGTTACAAAGACATCTCAAAACTGCATTATTGCTATTAACTCATCCACGTTAGACATGGTCTGGGAATATAATATAGCTAAAATCAAACTCTCTTTTTGTAGAACTTGTTGAAGCACCAATTCCATTAAATTGAAGGCAGTTTCTTGCATTTCCACATCGAGTTCAGAGTCAGCAGCAAACAAGTCTAAAGTACCAATTGCTTAAACAATTAGTCCATCCTTAACTTGCTTCTCTGCATCTTTACTGTTAAATCTACCTATCAAAATAGTTACAGCCTTGCATCTTCTTTGCCTCTTATGTGTAAAGAACTTGGCCAGCTTTCTACTGATTATGCTTGTTCCTTTAATTGTATTCCCAAATACTGTGCATCTCTTGTAACCTGCCTTTATATAGTCTTTATATAGTTAAGTAGGTTTTGAAGCAAACAGAAGAAGCTGCTGAATAGAAGGATGATCAATCAGGCTGCAATGGTCGACAACAGCAAGGCTAAAACAATGAGAACAACACCATTGATTTGATTCACATATTAAGTAGCTTAACAAAAATGGTCAGCAAGCTTTATCATCACTGATGCACCATCGAAACAGCGCGCTATGCAATTTGCTCTCCACTCAAGGTTTGTATTATCCAACATATTAGATATGGCTGTAAAAAAATGTGTTGCTCTTCCGTGAGTGAATTAACACACATCAATCAACTTTTTTTCAATGATATTATGTAACTGAATGTAAGAAATGTAACTATCAATTGCTTTTTGGTGTCGTTTCTAAATGGTACATATTACAAGACACATCTGGTTGCAAAGAGCCACATCTGTTGTTGAGTCAGTTTGTATACTAAAAACACCTTTTTTATTTATTAAGCTGATAATTTGCTTTTGTATTTCAGTACTGAAAACTTTCAGCAT